AAACTGGGTGGAATGATTCTTTTAAAGGATTGAGTTAGTCATTCTAGTTCCTGGATTTTCCATACATGTTTTAGAGTGATTATAATAGTGAAGATTATAATAAAAAATTCACCTATCAATCCATTCCTAGAGAACTGTCATTATTGCTACAGTGGCGAGTGTTCAATTCACAGATTAGCTGTGCCTTCAAGCATTTGACTCTTTGAGCACTTCCAACAGCATTTTGTAGTTTGCCATCTAGATTCTGTGTGCTAATCCCAGGACTTCCTCGTTTTGGGGAGATATAGTAAATATTTAAAAAAACATTTTGGTTTCTGGTTTGTTATAAGCACATAAAAATATGATTGATTCTTGAACATTCCTGTGTCTCCTTGCTTCTCTTCTAGACCAGATTCTCTAAGAGTTCTTTTTTATTGTGAATGGATTACTCAAATTAATTTTATGTGTGTGTGTATGCACCCATGTGAGTTGATGTGCACCATGGACATACAGGTGATGGTGAAGGAGTGAGGCTCCTCTTGTGAATGCTAGAAACGGAACCCCGGGGTCCTCTGAAAGAGAACTAAGTACTCTTAACTGCTGAGCCATCTATCTCTCCATCCCCTTGATACTAATTTTTCTCTAATTACTTTTTTCAGTTAACTGTATTTCTAGTGTAAAGCCCACTTACTTATTCATGACACATTACTAGTTTTTCCTGTGGCTGAACTGGATTTTCTAATATTTTGTTGAAGATTTTGGCACCTACATTTTGGCATGTATTGGCCAGTGACATTCTTATATTGTCTTTATCTAGTTTGAAATCATTGTGTCACTGGCCTGGTTAGGCAAGTTAAAAATAACGTGTGATTGGGTGTGGTGACTCGCTCTTTTACACGGCACCTTCTAGGTGGTTGTCTGTGTCAAGGTGAAGCTGCGTACGTATGTCCTTCCCAGCCATTGGGAAATGAGGGCATGCCTGGACTGACAGATACTCCTGTGCTAGATTAACTGGTTCAGGGGGATCTTTCCGTTTTCCTCTAACTGGCAGTTCTTCTGCCTTCTGCTAGGGGCTATTTGCCAATGTTCAGAGGCTTTTTATTTTTTGTCAACACAACTTGGAACTTCGAAGATAGTACTGGCACCTAATAGGTAAATACAGGGATACTGTCAACAAATACACAAGGCAGCCTGCCCCCTTCTCCCAAAAGTAACTATCCATCCAATGTATTTGTGGCCTTGAAGTGAATTCTGTATGCATCATTGCTGATGTTCTGTCTGCCACATTCATTTATTCATCCATTCCTTACAGATGTACTGACATCTACCATTGTAACCGAGTCCCATGTGGAACCCCTTTCTCTGACAGTGTGGGGTCGTCTATGTAGAAGCTTTATTTTTCAGTCTTACAGATGTTAAGATTTTGGCACCTTCTTAATGAATCAGTATCAGTTGATCCAAAAGTCTCCTGTTATCTCCAGTCATTTTCTCTCCCTGGGGTCTGCTGTGTCTGGCACTGTTGGATTTATGCATTTGTTCGTTTCCTCATGGCTGCAGCTAAATGCCTGAAGCGACTTCAGGGAGGAGGGCTCATGGATGTGGAGTTGCAGTCCATGCAGGCAGGAAGGCCTGTCTGCTGGATCAGCTGCTGTCACAAAGCAGAAAGCAGAGGGAGGGGTTGGCCCCACACAGCTGGCTTTCTCCTTTTCCACTTTTACTTGTTCTCAGACCCCAGCTCAAGGGAAAGCCACCCACCCCTGGCATTCAGGGAGGCTCCTCCTCACAATTAATCCTCTCTGGAGGAGCCCTCAAGGACACACCCAGAGTTGTGCCTCATGCTGCCCTGGGTGCTTCTTCTTAATCCAACCAGGTTGGTGGTGGAAGCAAGCAGTCGTAAGGTACCATCACAGTCACAGTGTGTCTGTCTTTCTAAACACCCCCCTCATTTCCGTTTCTCTTTTCTGTTGTCAAATGATCCTTTATTGAACGGTTTTCTTTTGTAGTTCTTAAACAGCTGGGCATACAGAGATGCCATTGTGCTGTCTTCTAGAATGCATAGCTGCACTGTGCATCACTATTGCAGGCTGCAGAGGAAACCCCAGTGCCTCTTACAGAAATGCAGAGGGTTCTTCTGCGGCTGAGACCAACCGTGTCTGTCAGGAAACCTCGGGATCATCACAAAAAGTGCTTTGCCATACGCTGTTATTTTCTATTTCTTTTATTTTAGTTAGTTCCCTGAAGGGGATAGATGACAGAGGTGGGAATGTACTCTGTAATCTGGGTCTGTGTGTTCTGATTGGTTACTGGAGTCTATGGTCCTTTCTAATGAATTGTTTTCTTAGCATTGCCTGGACAATCTAGTTGGGTTTTGTTTTGGTTATCTGGAAAGACCCAGGAGGTTGATATGAGAGGTCAGACAGACGGAGCACTGACTTTGCTACCTTTGTCTTAGGCTCATGACTTTGATCTTGCGGTCAAGCCTAAATGACCTGGAAGAGGTGGCTGATGCTCACTGACACTGTATAGGTACTGACCTAGTTACACTGTTGTTTGAACTGTTTCTTTTCGCTAGGGTACAGTACATATCTATTTCCCTTCTGTGCTGAAAAATCTATTTTTAATTGGTTTATACCTCTTACATTTAAGTATTGATATGTTTAGATATAAGTGTACAATTTCATTTCTTTACTCTTGTTATCTCAACTTTTGTTTCTATTTTTCTGCCTCTTTTTGGTTATTTGAACTTCAATTTGTCTATTACATTTTTATCATTTTACACACACACACACACACACACACACACACACACACATTCTTTGTATCTTTCTTGGCTGTCCCAACATTGCAATAGACATACCGAACTTTTCACAGATGACTTGGACTCAAAGCTTTACCACACTAAGTGGTCCAAAGAACCACTGACATCATCTTGATTCCTTTCATCACACTCTGTACTACAGTTGTATTATGTGTCACATACACTGAAAACCTGATCAAAAGGTGTGATAGTATTTGTTTTCAACCCTCAACATTTTTTTAATGCCAGAATGATTCTATTTTATTTGGAACCCCTCAACTTCATTCTACAACAAGGTAAGAATCCTACATGCCACTCCAACCACGATTCTTATCTTAGTTAGGGGTTCTATTGCTGTGAGGGGTCACTTTGACCATAGCAACTCTTACAAGGAAAATATTTAATTGGGGTGGCTTGCTTACAGTTCAGAGGTTCAATCCATTATCATCATGGTGGGATGTGGCAGTATGCAGGCAGATAAGGGGCTGGAGAAGGAGCTGAGAGTCTTATATCTTGTAGGCAACAGGAAGTGGTCTGAGACACTAGGGGGTATCTTGAGCATAAGAGACCTCAAATCTTACCTCCACAGTGACACACTTCCTCCAACAAGACCATGCCTACTCCAACAAGGTCACACCTTCTAATAGTGTCACTCCTTTGGAGGCCATTTTCTTTCAAACTACCACAGTGGCTCCTCTTTGCAGCTTATCTTTTAGCCTCACGTGTACCCAAGCCTAGTTTTCTCCTTGCCTCCAGACAAGCCCTTTTCTGGACCTTATTAAACTCTAAGTATTTCTAGCTTGAAAAGTGTGTGTGTGTGTGTGTGTGTGTGTGTGTGTGTGTGTGTGTGTGTGTTTCTTTGTCAATCAGTCATGAACTATCATAGGGAATTTCTTTCTTTGTATTTTGGAATAGCAGCAATATGATTGGATAAAAATGCTCTCAGTTAAACATGTGGCTGTTGACTATATTGTGCTGGCCTTGTGCAAAGCTTGAACCTGGCAGTCATTGAGATCCTTGGAAAGGAGGGGACCAATATTCTTTAGAATACTTCCCTCTCACATACCACATCATCTCTTAATGTGTGCAGCACTGATGTGTGACAGCCTTCTCGGCCTCATAAATCTCTTTACACACATGTTTTATCTCTAAACAGTACAGATGACACACACTTTTCTGAGCCCTTTAAGTAACTAGGGTGACACAGAACAAGATATCTGAAAATCAAAGCAGGGAGGGTGCTTGATACCAGGAAGGTTGGGTCATGGAACACAGGAATGGCACTGCAGCTGGTGATGAACAGCCAACAGGGATTTGAACCATAACTGGGAGATGTCACTGGCAGTGGACTTGAACCATCCCTGTGGTTGGACTAGGCGTTCAGGACACCTTTCACAAGTCAAAGGTATTTCTGTGGGTATAGTCTCTTCCCATATTCATTGCCATTCTGCAATGGAAGTGTTATCCACAGCCAGAGCCGAAGTAAGAAGGGGGGCTTAGCTCACAGCTGCACAGTATGCAAGACCCACAGAGCCAGTGTTGGTAGTGCTGATACGGCTACTTCCCACTCTGGATGTCAGACTGGGCGTCACCTAATATCTTGTCCTAGATAGGGACTTTGGGGACAGAGGGTAGGTAGTTCTGGTCTTTTCTGAGTCTGTGGCCTTAGCTGACCTGGACAAGCCTGGGGCAATTGTGAGCCAAACAGCTCAAGTCTGTGCAATGCTCCTTACTATGTATGTTTGTGCTGGTGTGTCCACACTGTGTGCAGTCCCCATTTCCAAGTCTCTGTTAGAAACCACAGTTTGCAAGTGAGGGCAAAAGCCTGAAAGAGACTGGAAAGGGAAACGAGAAATAATTGCCAGTTTACTTTGTCTTCTAACTCCAAAGCAGGTGTTTTGAACCATTCTGTTTTATAATATTGAATGTTGTTAGGGAAGCTTTAGTAAGAGGTGAGCCCTTCCCCTAAAAAAAAAAAAAAAAGAAAAAAGAAAAAATAGTGCCTGCTTCTCCAGCAAACCCCCTCCCCGCAAAGATTCAAGAATCACATTTTACATAATTGTATAATTTTTAAGAGCCAGATTATTGTTTTTGGCATAACCAAAATCCCTTCCACTTTTTTGAAACCGTTTGTCCTATGCAGGGGTTGTGGCCATGCATGAGAAACAGCAGGTGGTGCCAGATGACAGGTGGTGTGGGAGCCGTCCCCGGTGGGAGGCGCGAGCAGGCAAGCAGGCTGGCAGCTGCCGAGATCTTCTCTGAGTGCTGGCGCCTCGCTCTCAGAAGCTCCGGATCCAGGCACGCAAGGACTGCTTTCTCAGCGCCACGAGCTCGGGCTGTGGAGGGAGGGCTCCTGCTTGTCCTCCTCCTCTACATATTGGCTTGACTCTGCTCTGACCCCCACCAGTGCTGCGCAGTAAGTAGGCATTTGTTTTTGTTGTAACCACTCCCCAGCCTCCTCCCAGCCCTTACTACCCTGTCATCCCCACAACAACCCCGTTCTGTCTAATATGTCCCACCTGCAGGATTGACAGGAGAAATTCAGCCGTGCTGGGCTTTTGAGGGTGGGGTGAAAGCAATGCTTGACTGCAAAGGGAGCTGGAGAGAAATAAATGTGATTTGTTTATTTAGTTGGCAATCTTGCAATATGGGGGCTGTTAACTTTCCATGAAAAAAAAAAGCCCTTGGCTATTGAGGAAATGGGGGTATTTCATGGCTGAATAATGAGATGAGGTTCAACACAGCCCCTTTCTGATTTAGAAACTCAGATCTCATGTATAATCTACATATTATGTTAAAAAGTGGTGTGATGAGAGATATTGAATATATTTCATTGTGTTTTAGAGATCTTGAAGAAAAGGTAAAATAGCAATGTGGGTGGTGAGGTGACATGTGCCCTTCTGCAGGGGACCCACAATAATGGAGTTTCCTTTTGTGCGGAAAACAAGCTTGCCAGTGAGGCTCTAAGGATGTGTTAGCCATGGTGTCTTCGTATTGTTTAAGCTTGTATTTTATTTTTAGTGAAGGTCTGAGATTTCTCCCCTCTTTTCACTGCTCCCTAATTTGAGGGTCGGTGAATTCGGTGGGCACACTCTGCTGGTTAATGAAGTTTCCTTGGACAATGGGAACCATGTCAGGAAACGGAGTGGGAGATTGATGGCCAGCACCAGATTGGACGCTGCTGAGGGGAGCTGTAGTCGTCAGCCCCTCAAGTTCCTGCTGTAACCAGAATTCTGCTGCTTGCCTTAGGTCTGGGAAAAAAGCAGAAGTATGGTGAAGCTGAACAGCAACCCTGGAGAGAAGGGAGCCAAGCCGCCTTCAGTGGAGGATGGCTTCCAGACTGTTCCTCTCATCACGCCCTTGGAGGTTAATCATTTGCAGCTGTCTGCTCCGGAGAAGGTAATAGGTGATCTTCCTTCCCTTGTCCCCCAGGTTACCCCAACCCAAGCAGCAAAAGATTCACCCCCTCAAACCCTCTGGTTCTCCCAGTCACCAAATAGGCTCCCTTCTTTGGAAAATATTCTATCCAGAGAATGAGATAGCTCCTGTGTTATTGCAGATTTACGGTGCTTGTTCATATCTACATATACAGGCAAGCAAATTAATGCTTTCTTGTTAAGATTTTAGCATGGCAGATGAATACACATAAGCCTCTACATGGTGATGAAGAAAAAAAATAACAACAACAAAAAAAAACCCCTGTCTTAATTTTCCTAGGTGTTTCGAAAATTGATTGGAAAAGATAGGAAGGCAGGTACTTGGATTCAGTCCCATAGCTTTCAGTTTGCACCTGCTAAGGTCGCCACTGTTCTAGCAGTTGGCTATTAAAAAAAAAAAAAAACCCCGAACTTGCAAAACCCTTCAGGGTGCATTGTGGTAAATACTGGACCTGAGAATCACAAAGGGTGGGGAGGGGTGGGGAGGGAGTGGGAGGGCAGGATAGATGAGCTGCAGTGCAGAATATCCAAATCAGAGTTTTGAAGGTGAGTAAAGCTTTGCAGTGTTGGGGAGGGAAAAGGTATTTAAGGCAATGATGAAAGTGAACTGCAGAGTGTGGGAAGCTCCCGGGGACACTGGCTGCATGAGGATGTCTGGGGAGATGAGGCTGGGAAGCAGCCGAGGCTGAAGGCACCTCTCCTGATGGAAGAATGGAGGTGGCAGAGGGGTGTCATCCCACAGGCATAGGTGGGAAGGTCTGTGTAAGGTCTAACCAAGAGAGTGGAGGGTTATGGGGGTAAGAGGTTTGCAGATCAATGTTCCTACCACCAGGCTGGAGATGGAACAATGGATCATTCCATCTGTTCGATTTTTTTCCATTGGCATCTCCAGGAGGGCATTGTGTGCGTCTTAACCACTTGGCTCCATCCAATCAATGAAAAGGAACTAAATCGAGATAAAGAGCTGGCTGATTGGCTGGGGCTGAGTCATTTGTTTTGAAAGCACAGAGGTTTTTTGATAGAAGAATGTGCCAGGGTGGGTGGTTGAAATAAAGCTATCCCGAGAAACGAACAAAGCCTTTTAAAGAGAGCTTTGAACAGGCAGTGGCTGCCAAGGAAGTGTGAAGAGATGGCACCGAGAACTCGCCTCAGGCACATCAGGCACACTCAGTTTTTTATTTCCTATAAGAAACACCAGACAATTTAGAAAGTCCTGTTATTGAGGTCACCCCCTCTGGGATGAGACCCAGCCATCAACATAAATGCAGTCTCCCCAATGAACCTCATGTGCAGCCAAAGTTGAGCAACTCTGGTTCAGATCTGGAGTATACCTGGGAGTCCGGGATTAGGAACTCAAATTACAAGTCAAAACTGGGGGCGATCCAAATGCATGGAAAGACTAGGTGGGAATATTTGGACCTGAATCCAAGCACCACTGGAGGTTTTGAAGGGGAAAACACGTGTCTTGAGGTCCTGCAATTTAGTAGCCACATGCAAGTGTCTGAGAGTTGTGAAATGAAAAAGGGTAGTGGGGAGGCCACCTCCCCTAACCTCCCACAGTTACAGGACATCCAGAGAATAATGTGCCCCCTCGCCCTTTACTCCCCTAACTCCCTCTGAGAGTTCTTTTCTCACACTGAGCAACCATCCTGAACATTCCAGGAAGTCATCCCAAGGTGTGCCGAAAGATGCAGCAAGTCCCTGCAAAGGCATACTGTATACTCCCTCTGGTGCTCCTAACTGACTGTCTACTAAGTGGGTGTTAGTTTCCTCTTCTGTGGAGCAAGGAAGCTCCTAACCTCAGGATGTCAGAACAAAATCAGATATGGCCACAGATGCCAAGTGGCACAAAGCCAAGAATAAAAGAAGAGTAATTAGCATGTTGGAGTGGTTTATAAAATGCCAAGTACTGTCCCAAGCAGACACATGCATGCTCTTGCTCACACATGCACACACACACACTTTTACTTCAGTCTCTCATTAGTAAATAGAACCTGGTCAGGGAATAGCTATCATGATCCAGTGTATAAAGGAACTCAAACATAGACTGGCGATGTAACTTCTCGAAGTAAAGCAGTGAAGCATCTGGATGTATAACCTGGGCACTGGTGTTCCAGAACCTTCTACTTTAGGAAAAGGAGTGAACTTTGTCTGAGACCACAGATTTGGTCTCTGTTTCTAACTCAGTTAGAAGCCCACAGTTCGGATCAGCTGTGTCTTAGGACTACATCTTCTCTGAGTGGGGAATTGTCTTAGTGCTGTTTATTTCAGGGCAGGAGGTTAGACCTAGTGCATCGTACATGCTAGGCAAGTGCTCTGTCATTGAGCTGTATCTCCAGTGCAGATTTATGGTCTTTACAAAAGCAAATGCAGTTTCCCCCCCTACAGAAGAACAAATGTGTTAAGGAGTATTCCAATCCAGAGGCCAGTTTCTCTAAATGATGGCTACCATCACGGGCTGGAAGAAACATTTTCAGATGGATGCAAATCTTTATTTCCCCTTTTACTAGCATCCTCCTAGCTAAGAGTCCGAGAGGTTCCTTCCTTTTCTTTGTTCATTTTTGTTTTCATTTTGCTTTTTGAGACAGAGTTTCTCTACATAGCCTTGGCTGTTCTGGAACTTACTGTGTAGATTAGGTTGACCTCAAACTCATAGAGATCTGTAGACAAAAGTTTCTGTTCCACCCTGTTCTGTAGCCACTCAGTCCCAAAGAAACACACAGAGGCTTCTGTTAATAAACTGTTTGGCCGATGGCTCAGGCTTCTTATTGGCTAGGTCTCTCTTAGTTACTAACCCATTTCTATTAATCTGTGTCTTGGCTTACTGGTGATGGACAGGTCGGTCTCTTGTTCCCTCAGCAGCTACATGGCATCTCTCTGGAGACTCGCTCCCTCTTCCTTGCTCTTCCCAGAATTCTCTCAGTCTGGTAGCCCTGCCTATAGTTATTGCCTGGCCACACCCTTCCTGTCCATCGGCCAAAACAGCTTTATTCATCAACCAATAAGAAACATGTATTCACAGCATACAAAAGGACTTCCTTCCCCCATCATCTCTTTTCTGTCTAAATAAAAAAGGAAGGTTTTAACTTTAACATAGTAAAATTATATACAATAAAACAGCCATCAAGCAAGAGCTAAAGTTAGCAATATTTAATTCACAACATTTGGCAAAATTTAAAGAAAATATTCTATCATCTATTCTATCTTTATGAGTCTAAGGTTTTATACGTAACTTATCTTTTATCACAACTGAGGAAAATCATAACCATAAATATCTGTCTTCAACTCCATCAAAGACCCCAGAAGGATAAAATATAAACTATAGAATTGACAGAGACATCTCACTGCCTGGACAGTCACCCGAAGTTTCTCTGTAACATTGGGGCATCGATCTTCAGCCCATAGGACATATCTCTCCTGAGGACCCAGTTCCAGCACATGGTCCTTGGGGGACACTCAGGCTATATCCAACCCTGTCTGAAGGCATACCCTGGGCCACAGGGGGTATTCCTCTCTGTTATTTAGTTCATCTTCCAGAAGTCCTGTGGGGTAGACTTTAGTGTGCACATTTCACCAATGAAGAAACCAAGGTTTAAGTTAGGAAAGTGACATATCTAAATATCACAGACAAGGAGTGGAGTGCCAGGTTTGATGCCCTCCAAAAGAATTATCCTTCCCCAAATGCCAACAAAGTACACACAGAAACCAAGGCTCGGTGGCATATCTAAATATCACAGACAAGGAGAAGATTGCAGGGCTGGAAGCCTAGGGTCCCCGAACCCCAACTTTCTCCTGCAATTTTCCATGCTCTCCAAGATGCTGGCTCTACTCCCCCCCCAACATATCCTTCCTAGCTGTTGACAGTGTTCATCTTCCTAAGCCAAGTTCCAACAGAAGATCCCTGGGACACCATCCTTGACCACCATCAAATTTAGCTGTGGTTCTAACACTCATACGAAAAGGCATTCATTCCTCCTTCCATTCACCTACCCAGAAAATCTCGTTCTCAGCCAAGTCTACACAGCCATAAAAAGACAGGGAGCAGTTTGGTGGGAGACACTAAGAAATGGGGAGGCAGGAGATGAGAATGAGGTGAGCATCAGGTAGGCCCCAGAATAAGGAGGTTTAATTTGGGAAGACAGTGGGATCTGGAGTCCTGTTCTATGAAGTTTATGCTGGAGCTGTGGGCCACCTATGGACAATGGACAGAGTTAGCCCCTTGATGGTCCCTAAGAAAGTTTCTCTTCCATTGGTTCTTCAAGGGAACATTGGAAGAGTTGGCCCCAGTAGAAGTGGCCAGGATCCCCGAAGGGGCAGAGAAAGAGAGAAAAAGAACAAGCAGGAGCCTGACTAGAAGTCACAGCTGTGGCCTGAAGCAATGGGACCATTGGAACTGGCGCCATGGGGATAGCAGCTGGGTGGATTATCACTGAGACCCGTGCCAAGGTGGCTTGAAGAGAATTTACTCTGGCTCCTTTGCATTTGGTCACTTAGCCTGAGGTCCCTGGCTCTGCATGAACAGCTTTAGTCCTGCCACACAGCAGGGAGAAGGGAATTTCTTAATAAGGCTCCCTCTTCTGTGTTTAAAACTATCTTTCATTTCTTCACCAGATGTGTGGGGAAATAGACTCAAAACCAAGCAGGCAGCGTCCTCCGGGCTATGGGAAGAGGCTGCTGATAAGCTAAGGTGGTGGTTTGAATGAGCATGACCCCCATGGCTCATATATTTTAATTCTTCGCCCCCAGTTGGTGGAAGAATTAGAAGGTGTGGCCTTGTTGGAGGAGGTGTGTCACTAGGGCAAGAGCTTGTAGGTTTCAAAACCCCAGGCCATTCTCGGTGCTCTCTCCTCCCTTCCCTCCCTCCCACTCTCCCTCCCTCCCTCCCTCTCCCTCCCTCTCTCCTCCCCTCCCTCCCTCCCTCTTCCTCTCTCTCTCCCTCTCTCTCTCCTTCCCTCCCTCTCT